AAAAAAAAAAAAAAGCTCAAAACAAAACCAAAACAAAACAAAACTCAAAACAAAAACAAAAACAAAACAAAGGAAGAGATTGGAGCAAAACAAAGGAAGAGATTTTTTAAACAAACAAAATTTTAAATTCTTTTAAACAATTGCCATAAATAGTAAGTCAAATGAGTTAACTCAGTTTTTGTATGAAGTTTTCACAAATGATTTATTTACCTTCTTCTTTCAATATATAGATAGATTTTTCACTTTAATAATATAGCTTATCAATTTAGTAAGTAAAAAATACTATTTGTGTTTCCATTTTGTACATTGGTAACAGTTTTTTTTTCCTCCTACATGTTGTTTGTGGTTTCTTTTTCTCTCTTTTTCTTCTTCTATCTCTTGCTTCTCTCCAAATATATATATTAAGTGCATCAAAAGCCCTGCCGACGTCCTGTAGGCGACCTCTCAGCTCCAAGGCGCGGCGGAGGACAGCCGACAATCGACGCGGGTGAAGATAGTAGTGAGGAAGCATGATTTGAAGCAGGTGTTGGAGGCTCTCAGGAGTGGGCACGATGCGGCTAAAAAGGGGACCGTCGGCGCCGACATTCGAGGAGCGGTTCATCATTTTGATGCGATTAGAGGCGGAGCCACCCATAGGCTAGGGTGGACTCCATCCCCATGTCAAAAAACAAAAAGAAAAATTACTAATTTTGCTTTTCAAAAAAAATTATATATAGCCCCATCTAATGTTTTATTTCGTCTCATCTAATTTCGGACTTGATACCTCAAAATTCAGTTCAATTTTGTTCATCAGAAACAACTTTCATGGCAACAATGGTGGAAAAGTGATGATCGTGCATGATCAGTAAGAGGGAAGAAGACAATCTTTTATTGTCAAGTGACAATTGTGCCCCAACTAGATATTTTTCAATTGCGTTTGTAATGTAACTCAACACACTCTTATCTTTAAAATTCTTAATGTGTTAACTAGACAAGTACAAAGTGAGCTAGATAATTAAGCTTGACATACACTTCTCCTACGGGCTATTTAATTGTGATCGTCTCATTACACAGACAGTTATCCATTTTTGTCCCTTTTTTGTTGATTTCGCCTCTAATAATTAATTTGGCTTCATTTCCTAGATAGAGAAAAAACTTCAACAAAGTTTATAGAAAACATATTTGACTCTATTTTTTTATAGACAAGTTCGATTAGCTATTTGAGTTTGACTTGTTTAAATATATAAGCTGGTCGAGATTCAGTTTTCACAAATCGAACCGAAATATGTTAACAGATGATTTGGTTCTAGTCATGGCCAAAACTGATTATGGGTCCAATTGTTGGTCCTGGGTCGAGGGTTGGAGGGCTTTGAACCGGCCCGAACATATGCACGGGCCGGTTGGTTAAATGAAAAAATTACTAATAAATTTTTCTGATTCTGGTTCCAGTTCGGAACAAAAGCCGCCATGCAAATTGTATGAAGTATTGAACATAAAACGAACCGATCAAAACCACGGGGCCGGTTGAAAACTCGTGGTCAACGGGTTTTGTGTCGATTCAGACCAAACCGACGGGTAGGGCAGGCCCATGGCCTTATCTACTCGGTTTCAATAATAACTACCATAATATATAGCCCTAGGTTAAGAAAATTTCTAGCTACGCCCTCGGATGTGATGGCGATAGAAGATTTTATGGACGGAGGGCCAAGCCAAGGGCTGAGGGTGGTTGGGCGTGTGGAAACATGTACTCCACAACATTCCAGAAAAAATGTAGAGACTATGAATTAGAAGCTAAACTCTGCAAGCCTTTCATCAAGTGATGTTCCAGCCTCTCTTCATGTACACAACCTTTTTCCAGTTCTTTTGGTCTAAATAATTTTTATGTTTCAGTTTCTATTTCATTTATTCCTACGATGTTTTTTTTTTTCTTTTCCCTTTTTGTAGGTCCCTTTTTTCAGTTTTTGCGACTGGATGTAGTGCATAGGTAGTGGCTTCTAGAGGGTTGTGATATCCGATGTCCTTGACCTGTGAGAAGAGAACCTATCAGGTATTGGTGGCTAGGGGTTAGCAACGGTGCAATTTGGCGAAAAATCTGCACCGAACCGCAAAAAATCAAAAACTGAACTTAGCAAAAAAAATAAAAAAATAACCAAACTGCACTGCAACTAAGGATGTTCTGGGAACCATGGTTACGATGTCGTCTTCATCACTTGGCCATCTGGGTTTTGGAGTAGTGTCTGTAGGTCCTACGACTGGGGGCGGCAGTCGACAGTCTGGTGCGCCACGTTGCTTCTCCTGCGGCGAACAATGTCCGAAATCAAAGGGGTCACGAACTTTAATTGTTGAGGAGATGGAGTCTGCAGAGTACGATGGCCCTCCTATTTTTGATAAGCAGCCGAAGGTTCCCGTGGTGCATGTCTCGGGGGACGTGGGTCACGCACTTGTCCTTCGTTGATCCCTGTTGTCTCCTCCTATTTCTTCCGACAACGAGTGTCAGCGAAGACACCTTTTTGAGTCTACATGCACTAGTGGCGGCCGTGTGTACCGTTTTGTGATTGATTCTGGCTCCTGCGAGAACTTAGTCTTGGTTGAAGCTGTGCATAAGCTGGGGTTGGTGAGTGAGCCACATCCGGACCCCTACACTCTCGCGTGGATACAACGTGACAACGATGTATCTATAACACGCCGTGTGTTGGTCTCTTTCTCTATCGGCTCTTCGTATAAGGATGTGGTGTGGTGTGACATTGTGTCTATGGATACGTGATACCTTTTGTTGGGGCGTCTTTGGCAGTTTGATCGAGCCGTGTTGCATGATGGGCGTCTTAACACGTATGAGTTTACATTTGACGGTGTCCGCTTAGTTTTGCATCCTGCAGCTCCCCATTCGATGTCAGTGTCCCCACCGACGACCTTATTTCTTTCCCGTAGCAGGGCATGTGACGAGGTTTATGGTTCATTGGCCGATCGTTCGGTGGTGTTTGATGCGGGTGATTTTGTTTGGGTTGATTCCCCGACGGACGGACGAGTCGGTCCTTACGAGGTTATCGATCGAGTCCTTCCAGCTGTTTACCTCTTCGCTTTCCCTCTCATGTGCGTTTGTCGGACATTGTTCATGTGACTCAATTGGCTCCTTTCCTTGTCGACGACTCAGATGAAGACAAGCTCGTTGCGGATTCGAGGGCGAATCCTCCTCAATCGGGGGAGGATGATGAAGACAAGCTCGTGATAGCTTTCTTGGAGAAAGAATCCCGACATTAAAATAGTTATTTTTTCGCATAATTATTATTTCTATCATTCCTTATTTATCTCTTTTATTGTTAGGATAATATCTATCTTTTAGGAATAAAACTTGGCTAGCAAGTTAGGAGTCTATTTATGCAGTAGAAACTGGATGAAACGATCAGCTTTTTGGTGAAATAAGAAAAGTTCTATGTTCTTTCACGAGTATGAGTTCTCGCGTGAGAATTCTCTTGATCATTTACGTTCTACATCAGAATCCAACACAGAAACCAAAACTCATAGCAAATCAACCCCACGACCAAACCAAAAGAGCTAAACTCCAACTAAAAACACTAGCTAGGAAGATCCTCAATCCACACACTCAAGGAAGTGTTTCATTGATGAGATAGTCAAACATTTTAAAAGAAATACAAATGACCATTTCATATTTTTCCAACAATTCCAATATGTGGTTGAGTTAAATTATGCAAATATAAAGGCATATAATTGTTCCTTCATGGACGTTATTGTATTGTTGGAGAGTGAAAACAAAGCATATAATTAGGCAGTGGTCCTATCCTTTTCTTGTTAATATTTTTTTCTACAAGAGAATACTCCAACTTCTCTCTCTCTCTCTCTCTCTCTCTCTCTCCACACACCCCTTCCAATTTGAAAACACAATATTAAAATCAAAGTACACACACTACACTTGGGGGTGAAGTGGAGGAGAATTTGGACTCTTAAAGCCTAAAAAGCAAGTACGCGTACAAAAACTACAACCCAATCACCGCCCGACCAATAATTTCATATCACACTGCCTTCTCAATCTCATAAACCTTATTTAAATCCAGTATTCAATTTATTGAAGAAAAAAATCTACAAGAAAACCGACGCCCAGTAACCGTCGCCGGCTTATCACCGCCGTTATTTTTGGGAAATTATTTGAAATTTGAACTTCTGCACAAGAGTTTCTAGGCACGACACGAACTTTGTGCCTTATAGGAAGAAAGTTTGGGAGCGATCGATGGGTTGTTTGCGTCAGAAGAGTTGCTAAAGACGATCAATTTTAACGAAGCAGGGGGGAAAGATTCAAGAAGCAATGAAGATTCTTCGATTCACGATCGTTTTTATCTTTCTTGGGGTAAAAGGTAATTACTTTGTCTTGATTCCTTGTGCGCTCTTTTGTTGTTTGCGTGTTTGTCAAATTCCTTTCAGGTTTTAAGCGAAATTGTGTACGATGTAACTGTAGAGTTGTGATTATGACTGTCTAGTGAGATTCAGTTTTTATTTTTGGATTATTGAATCGTGATCAGTAGTTGTTCAAGAAAGTCGATCAATATAGTTATATATATGTTTTTTTTTTT